GGGTGCAGGGTTTAGGGTGTAGGGCTCAGGGTGCAAGGTTTAGAAGTCTTATGGCTTAGAAAAACCTTATACAAGGTGTACTTTTGGTTCGTTTAAGGGCTCTAGATGGGTTGTGATGGGTTTATACAGTAGGGTTCTATGGTGGGGTCCCCATCAAGCGGCACTATAGGGTTTTCTATCATAGGGTCGCCTTTATAGGAAGCCGTCATAGAAGCTGTGCTGATGCTTGTCACCATTATTACTTACTAGTAGTGCTGTGGCAGTGAAAGAGTCACTGGGAATGGCAGTCGTCTTTGTGCGGCAACAGTGGCAGACTGCCACTCCGCGCCTCTACTGAGACTTTGCGCTTTGGCAAGCTCCAGGCATACATTCACTTGCGGAATCGTGACCTCAGCCAGATGCCCTGTCCTCATCCTATCTCCCTTCCACTCTAGAAGTGGCACTCTGGACAGCACAAATCTGCAGCAACAACAAGGATCAGAATTTCAACCTGTAGTTGTAGTCATGATAACGATAACCAGTATAGCACGGTATAGCTGCTGCAATAAGATAGCTGGAACCCCCAACATAGTCGAGTCTTACTTACAGATAGATGTGGGCCGCAAACCCCCGAGAACCTTGCACGGGTGCCGAGCGCGGGCGACGAGAGGCGGTGTTCCACCTGAGAACGCGAAGGGCTCCTATTCCCAGAGGGCCGGCACAGAGTAAGCCGCAGCATACTCTCTTCTTTTGTGCACCCAAGGACTTGCAGAGTCAGAAGGTCACTACGGTTTCTTGCAGTATCCCCACCAAGTGCCCTGGCAGCGTCTGTCCTCCACCTTGCACCAGTCGCCATTGGCGTCGTTGTCCGGGTTGCCACAATAGCCTTCGATGTCAATTCTCCTGTACCTCCACCCATGCTTGCACAGGCAATCTTTTGTGGTGTACTTCTCAGCGTCGGGTGGTGATGGCACCGGCTTTGGGCAAATCTTCCAACCAAAATGGGTCACGCTGTAGTCGGAAGACCACTCAATTTTTCCTTCGGGCACTTTTCCATGGGGAGTGCTTTCTCCGCTGTACTTCTCGCCGTTCACTTCGAGGTAGTCGTAGTTCCAACCCTCCACGTTGAAATCCAGTACCTCCATCGATGCTTTATCCTCCACGTCAAACTCGCACTCTTCGAAGTTGCGGTACTCGCTGCTGCCTCCATAGTCCCGGCTCATGATGCAGCCTGCCGCATCAACGGTGCAGGGGCCTTTCACCAGCTTCCACGGCTTCTTCCCTGAAGAGGCTGCGGTCGTCGTAGTGGCCATGGTCGCAGTCGTGGTCGTCGAGGTTGTTGTGGTAGTCGTGGTTGTCGTGGTTGTTGTCGTGGTAGTCGTGGTTGTCGTGGTGGTCGTCGTGGTTGTCGTGGAAGTCGTGGTTGTTGTGGTAGTCGTGGTAGTCGTGGTTGTCGTGGTGGTTGTCGTGGTAGTCGTGGTTGTCGTGGTGGTCGTCGTGGTTGTCGTGGTTGTCGTGGTTGTCGTGGTAGTCGTGGTTGTCGTGGTTGTCGTGGTTGTCGTGGTGGTCGTCGTGGTTGTCGTGGTTGTTGTGGTGGTCGTGGTGGTGGTGGTCGTGGCGGTGGTGGTCGTGGCACTAGCATCCTGATACTCGCAGTAGCCCCAGTTGGTGCCCTGACAGACGGAGTCTTGCACGAAGCACCACGGGACTGGATCGGGATCCCAAGACTTTGTAGCACAGGTGTCTGAGCACTTGCAGCCCCTGTTGACGGTGACGGCATACAGAGCATCGATGGCCGCATCCACGCTGGGATAACGAGCTGCAGGATTCAAGCCCGGTGCTGGGGTTTCGGTGCTTCCAGCTAAAGGGAAGCCGTAGGCAGCGCTGGTGCCCGCCATGCTCATCGTTGGGATGCTGACGTGCGTCAACACGCACAAGCCGACGCGGAAGCTCCCGCCCTCGCCCCAGTGTGGCCCCCAAGAGTTCCTCGGCACGGCTCAACAGATCGTCACTTCTTAAATTGTCTTAAACCATGCTGGAGAGAGAGGGGGCTTCAGGAAGCACATGCTACTGCACGCGGCCCAAGTTCAGGCAGATCCAGCTGTCGGGCTCCCAGCCGATGGCGGTCACCGCGTGATTCGGGTCCATGTCACAAGAATGTGTGTAGACCCCACTGGAGTAGGCCATGAAAGGCCCATCGGCCATCATGGCTGCGGGTACCGGCCCGCCTGCCAAGATCGCCTCCCGGATCAGCTGGTAGGCCAGGGCGGGCCTGGGGTGGTTCAGGAGGGCGAGGTCGTAGTAGTTGCTCAGGCCCAGATTGAAGCGATCCTCGTGCAAGGTCTTGGAAAATCCGGTGTTTGAGCACTCCGTCGGGCAGGGGGGTGCTGGGGAGTTCTGGGCGAAGTGGTCTGTGCCATCCCCGTGCCCGAAGTACGGTGAACAGCCGGCGTCGCCACCGGTGGGGGATCCACTTTGGTCCAGGAACCTCATGACACCGCCGTGTGGTTTTCGTACTCTCAGTGGGGCACCACAGATCACCGCTGAGGCCGGGACCTGAAAACGTCACTGGGCCAACCTCCTTGACAGCCATCGCGGGGGCTTTCGTAGGTACAGGAGGTCACGAAGCCACGGGCGATCTGTGCACTCGGGCCATTGAAAAGGCCTCGAAAGCACGAGCAGCCCCCCCACTTTCCGCAGGGCTTCTCTCTCGCTTTCAATTGCCTCTCTCTCTCTCTCTCTCTCTTTTAATCTTTCGCCAGGGCTAGGGTGGTGGAGGGAGAACCCCCCGCCACCGCGCGCGTTAAGCGCCCCCGACTGTCGGGGGGACATATATAGAGTTAAAAAGGCAAAAGTTCCACCAGGCTGCTAGCATTCACGTGGGGGAAACATGACATGAAGGCTCTTCTCTCTCTCTCTCTCTCTCTTCTTCCATCATAGCATAGGGGGGTGTCAAACCCCTGGCCACCAGGGCCCCCGATATGGTATGGGGCTTTGAGGTTGTCGTGAAAGTTCTCCCGGGTACCAACATGTGACCGAAGAATACCTATGTTACGATAGCGAGTTTCACGTCTTGTCCTGCTTGTATTGTAGCCAACGTGAACTAAGTTGAGGAAAGACTTTGTCACGGGCACATACAACGGGATCATTGCATCATCAGTAGTAGCAGTGACCATGTATGCTGTTTTGAAACGAATGTCGGCTTCCGGAATTACAGCACGGAAAACAATAGCTTTTCTTGTTTGTAAGCCCAAACAAAATAGCACAAAGCACCTGCAACATGTAACACTACGTTCAGGCGCTCTGACTCTAACATGCTAGTGCGATTACGAATCTATACATGGCACTGGACATGAGCTTCTCAAACCACGGAAGGCAACACGGCTTCTCCAACTACGATACAAAAGACATGGGAAATTCACACCCGTCTTATCTGCGGGTGACCGGGCGTGAAACAAACTTGGTGTCAGCTGCGCTTGGCCAGCGTGACTGCGCGTATCGGGCTGTGATTTCCATGCACTTTTAATCAACATGTGGCCTCATTGGACGCTTGACGCCCCTCCGAACTATGTCGGGGCTCGGCAGTTGTAGTGTCTGTGGTCGGCAGCCCGGAAGTCGACAAATCCGGTGCTCGTTACAACACGGTAACTACGTTCGTGCGGATAGTCTCATTCAGCAAATCGATTTCGTAAGGCAATCCGCTAACTGCAGGTGTGTGGCTATCCACCTGTGTACATCACCATACTAAGGTGTTGCTTCGTGACTAAGCAGATCATCTTCCCATAATGTCTGTCTCAGTCCGACCAGTTCTATGCTCAACCGCTTATCCTCGACCTGCTTCGGAATGGGTGATAGTAGATGGTCGGTCAAGCTTCGGCAGTCGCTATATTGAACATGCAGCATACTTCGCCTCGCCACTTCCTCCCCTTGGCTTTACACTGGAAATTTTCCCATAATTCCAAGCACACTCGCTCGGAGCCTATCTCCATACTCCACGGCATGCCGCAAGGAAGATGCCTCGCATTGCAATGTCGTGCGACAGACGTGTTTCATTTCATGGTTGAAGAACAAAACGACAAAAGATGCATATCATGGGTACTGGAATTCCTGTTGACTGCATCCTGACGCGACGTCAGGTAATGGATGCGACCACGCTGGGATTTATGCCCAACTTCCCCTGCAAATGACGCGTCGAAATGCGACGATCGCCAGCTCTCCCGGGCCCCAAGACAGTCGAGCTTTATAGGTTTATCGACAATACTTCTATCTGCGTCATTCAGGGCGAGAGCTACAACTCGGTTGGCATCCCACAACGTTTCGATAGTCGTTTTGGTTGCAGCGCATTCACACGGTATGCGAGGTCGGGCCGTGTAGCTCCATCCCCCCTCAGGAAGTCTATTGGGCGAAGAGACCTGGTATTGTCCCGACAATTGATTGCTATAGCGCCGTCCTCATGTTGTATGTATTCACGGCCGCAGGAGCTGAAGTTGTCTTGCTCAATGCGGTCGATCTTAGTAAACGTTGTATGGCATGTTCTCCGCGTGCAGCCCAAAAGAAGTCATCCACATGGGCGCAAAGTGCGACACACAGTGATCCTGAGTCGTCTGTGAGAAAATATAGCGCTGACAGGATCTGAGACGCTCGTAGTCCGAACTCTCGACTGCCCTTCTCCTTTATACGGAGGTATAGGTTACAGCCAACATTTGTCCTCCCATAGACTGGCACTCGAGCTATCATATAGCCGGCTTCCTGGATCTCACGATCAGGTACCCTCTGTGGATGCTTAGGTACCCGAAGAATAAGCTAGCGCTCCAACGGCTTTCCTTGGAAATATGCATTTGTGATATCAGCGGCTCGTACCCTAAGTCCAGGGAATACGGCCCAACTACCAATGAGGGCTATCCCCTCTTGCTCGGCTGTCGGTGAGTCAGCCCTTTCTGTCTCCTCCATTCATTTGTTCAAAGTTTCCACAGGCTACAAGCTTAGCCTTCCACTCCGGCGCGCCAGTTAGAAGCTCGTTTTCGCCTGTAAGAACCCATTTCCTGGGTCTGCATTGAGTTCGACATACTTTTGCCACTCTGGCCTTGTCCAGACCAAGTTGCACATGGACCGAAGCCTTCTCGCGGCAATCAATCAAAGTTTCCAAGAACGCTGCTCCTGTCTCCTGTATATTATCTTCAGGGCTTGTCTCCAAAATCGTTGCCTCGGTATGCGCATTGGGCTCCAATGCTTCTGTAGCTTCGGAGCATGCATAACAAGCCTTCATGTAGAGTGCTACAGGATTCGTTGGGTGATCTTCTAGTGATGAATCCGCCCGGATATGCTTCACCCTTCTGCCATGCCTCATATGTAGCTAAGGTGGCATCGTTCGCAGTTAGATTCGCACACAACATCGTCATGCGATGAGACTCCTCCTCGGCCCTGGAGAGACTTCAACAATGGACTGTGAACTTTCCTCCGGTAAAATCGGTTCTCCTGCGAGCACGTGTTGCGCAGGGCTACAACCTTGGTGTCGTGACAGCTCATTCTTAGTAGCGACACATCCAGTTAGCACCGTCTCCGTCTCATCAATTTTGTCATCAATATTCGAAACTTGAGATTCCTGGACTGTCTTGCGCAGCAGCGTGTGATGGCTCATGCCATGTTGAGCTAGGTACTGGGCGAAGTCGCCCTTGAAACGAGTGCCACGATCCGTAACTATGATAGTGGGGTGCCCCGCCCAGGAGATCTAGCACTTTACGGCATTCCACCGGTCTTGACATATTGCTACCTGCTGAAACCTCGTACCTACGTCAACTGTGTTGACGGCTGCGCCGGAATGGTCCTACACTTCCAGGCAATCAACGCTGACAGTATGATTCAACTCTCGCGGACACGGGGACTCCCCTGGTGGTATCTAGGCACTGGAGCTGCTCCCGGAATATGTCCGAAGGCCCTGTGAAGGCGCCTGCTAGTTTCTTCATTCCCTCCATGCTGCTCGGCGTTGCTGGCACGCCGGGAAAGGTTGCTCCTTTTCCTCAGGTTTTAAAGGCCTCGTCACTTCCGTCATCATCGGCCTTGGGCTCTCGAGTCATCTCAACATCTGAGATTAACTCTTCCTCCTCAGGATAGGTGTCCTGGTCCCCTACAAAGCATGTTCTTGTAAAGGATTCGAAGTACACGCTCTCTGAAACATCATTACAAACTCGCCAGAAATCAACACCACTGATATCATGAAAAACATCACGGGCTCCAGCCGCAGCTTTCCGTCCAGGCGTGCATCAAAGCTAGTGCGTCACCAATCTTCGGGCCTATCCGGAAATACACGAATCGCCCCTTAGCTCAATGATTTCCTCTAACGTAGGATATCCGAAGGGACTGACAAGGACTATGTGAACCCCCACAACTCAACACACAGCTCCACGGCGGACGCTGGCAACCTCAAAACAACTAGGCCCGGTGGCCCCGCAGTGCGATTCTCGAGGGTCTCGTAGATGGCCTGCGCGGATGGAGTGTCTGCATTCCACTCGCAGGGGACAATCCGGTAACTGCACATATAGGCGATAAGATGTTTGGCTTCAAACAACGCTGCGTTATAAGCGATGCTTCGCATAACATGATGACCTGCTATATTATCCGTTCATGCAGCGCTCGAAGTACACCTTTTGCTGGGTGTTGCTAAGCTCCGCACATCTCCGGAACGGCTGTTGGGACTCAGGCTTGCGGTTACATTGGAGGCATGGGCACTGGCAGAAGCTGGATTCCCCTCCAGCTAACGCTACAGTTATAGGCGACCCAACGGATACCCATTCTCCAGAACTGTCCTCTGACACTCCACCGAAAGTAACCTCCTTATCCTGAACATCCGGGAACCCTGCACGCAGCGCCATAAATCTGGACGCATCTGCGGTGTCCAAAGACTTCGACAGCTCTTCGCTGTCATCTAGAACCTTCGGAACGGCGTCCCAGGCGAAAGCTAGCGACGTCGTGCACACGAGCTATGTCGTTATGGCTCTCAAGATGGCTTTTTTGTTATTTGTTTCCCTTTGGCTAGCCACAGGGATTATACCCTTCACGCGTGGATGGTGTGATGGGGCACGCCTTGATGTCATGCCTTTCATCAAACTCGTGGTGCGCCCGATCACCTCCTCTGAACCTACTTGGGGCATATGGCCCCAGCCAAAGTGCAGGTGCTGGCCGACCCCCCAGAACATTAAAGATCTGGGCCAAACACGGCACCCGGAAAGGCACCGAAACTGATGCGTCTGTTCTCTCCGAAAGCCGGGCTCCCTGTCTGCATTGGCAGTCCTGGTATCTAGTGGATCTATGCCCACTGCCATTGCCGCTACCCTCGTCTCGCCGCGTACTGTGGGCTCGGCGGCTCCGGAACAGTTCTGACGCCGGCATCTGCACGCAGCGGGCGCAGTGGGCCTGCATCTTCGTTGTCCTCTTCAGCGTCATCATAGACGCTGCGGGGCCCCTCGAGGTGACTTGTCGTGCTGCAGGAGCCGGCGGCTCAGCTTCAGGAGGAGGCAGATACGCAGGTGGCCTCGGTGGCAGCTCTGGCGTGCAATGTTCCGCGAGCGGTCTCGGTGCTGCGACTATCCCGCCCTGTCATTCGTATTCTTTCCAGAGGCTCGCCCATGGTCTTCACCTGAGCGTTCGCGAACCCTGCTCCTGCTGTCT